CCACCTTAGGTGTACGTGGCTGGTGCCTTAGCCGGTTGAGCTACAGGCGCCGAGCCCACATAAATTATCTTGATGTTCTATGCAATGCTACTTCATCAAATGTGAGTTTGGGGTGGCAACTGCATCATCTTCTATTAATTTTATAAGTCCCTCTCTTTTACTTACCATTGCTGGGGCTCCATTAGTAACTATACCGGATAAGGTGATGACGGACAAAGAAAATCACTTTAACGTATTTTTTACCACTTTGTATAAATCTCTTGACTTAGCTGTGTCTTTTAATGGCATAAAATAAGCCATTTCTTCAGGGATAGTAGATTCATCATTGATATCTCCGATAAAAATGCCAAGTTGAGCAGTATGTGTATGCTCAGTGCTGTCCGTCATTGCCAAAGCATGAAATTAAAAATCAGCAGCTTGTCTGCTCACGTCTCTAATCCTAGCACTGTGGGAGGCGGCCAAGGTGGATGGATTGCTCGAGCTCAGGAGCTTAAGACATTATGGTGGTCGCCTGTCGTTCCAGCTATTTGGGAGGCTGAGGCAAGAGGATCGCTTGAGCCCAGGAGTTTGAGGCTGCTATGAGCAAGGACTCCCTGGAACTCTAAATCACAGCTTTAAATCACAGCTTTATTCTCCGAACTTTTGTTGATAGATTTTTCTAATATCTTCAGTTCTCCAGGCTGATGAGACACATTGTTTTAGAAATATTCCTTCTTTCACAGCAAATGGTACCTGCCATGCTTTCCATACATTGCTTAGTCAACTCACCATCGATAAATGGTTTTGGTGGTTTTGCTCTTAAATATGCTACCACAAAACTAGCTTCTACAATGGAATTTGTCTAAGTGGTAACTTTTAAAACATTTTTTTGTTGAGACAGACTTTTTTTTTCAGTTCCGCTATTTTGTCCTTACCACATAATGCCTTGAATTTGGCAGCACGTTTTTGCATATAATGCCTTTCAAATTACAGTCTTTAAAAACTTGCCCACATTCCCTATAAATAAAGCAGTGGGTCTTTGTATTTGCCTTGACAAAAAAGTGGTCACTGTCTACTTTCCATTGAATAATTTTCCTTCATCCATGATTTTTCTTTTGGGGGTTCTGTTGTAGAAGCTGGGTTGGGATTAAAAAATAACAATAGATAAGGGACTATATTTATTTGGTTATTAAAATTGAGAAGAAAATAGAAAGCAAGGTCTGGGCCCTTTCACCTCTGGGCTGCTGATGCAGGGCAAGGCAGGGTTGGGGGGTGATTGTAGAACACGGTGGGCAATGTGTCAGGTGCCACCGAGGTGTGGCAGCACCTCAGTAATCAAGTAAGAATGCTTAGCAGACTTCTAAATAACATTGAACACTAACGTTGCAAAGGTAAGTTGAAATATTATTCAAACTTGCTGCCATCAACAAGTCACCAGGGTGCACGTATGTTTTATGTTGTCAATTCGACTATTTGCACTTGGAAAATAACAGACGGCAAGCCACACATGTGTGTAAACAGTGAGAGTGTACCTATGTTTATTTTACATGACAGTGTGACGCAAAGTTCACACTGGAGAACAGCACGATTGGGTTCCACACCAAAAAACCCACACACAAAAAGCTCATAATGTTTTAAGTAAGGTTATGATTTTG